TTATTTTCTACGCTCAGCACTTTTAGTGTAGTGTCTGAACTGTTTATTAGTTATTTCTACCTTATATTGTTATTTACATAGACTCAATTTTGAATGAAGTATTTTTTTCATACTTATTACATATGCAAAAATATATCTTAGAAATATATCCAGTGTTTTCTAAGCTATAGTTTGTGGGAAAAAAATGTTTTTCCAAATTTTTACATTTGCTGGATTTTTCAATATAAATTTTTTGATGTTGAACAAAGTTTGTGCAACTGGTTCAGGGTTTTCCTCTAGTAGAAAATGTGTACACTAAGATCTACGATACAAGTAAAGGCACTAGAACCCTCTTTACACTGTAATGTTTTTCCTCAGAATACATACTGTAGTCTCCCTTCACTTTTAAGGTTTATATTTTCTACAAGATTGTTTTTTCTTTTTTTAGAGATGGGTTTTCACCATGTTGGTCAGGCTGGTCTCAAACTCCTGACCTCAGGTGATCCACCAGCCTCTGCCTCCCAAACTGCTGGGATTACAGGCGAGCCACTGCGCCTGGCCTCTACAAGGCTGTTTGACCGTGATTGAACTTACAACGCTCTTATTAAGTATCAACTCTCTGTTGTTAGGAAGTGAGCAGATATTAATGGCTTTTCCACAATTTTTTAAATTTGTACACCTTATTTCAAGTATTAATGGTTTTCTGTACAATAAGGTGTGGGCATTGGTTAGCAGTTCTGCCACATTCTTCACATTTGGGAGGTTTCTATTATGAATTTTCTTATGTTTAGTAAGTCTTGAAGACCAGGTAAAAGCTTTGCCACATTCTTCACATTCTTCTCTCTAGTATGAATTTTCTCTCTAGTATGAATTTTCTTATTGTAAGGTTTATTGCCGAGGTAAAATGAGGAAACTGAGGCAAGTATAAGCAAATGAGAAGTTAATTTATTCAGCTTCCGGGCGAGGTTCTGTGGTCCAGGAAGGGGCCAAAGAAGTTGCACCCGGCTGTTTAGGTTATGGGGTTTTATGGGGAGAGAAGGCGATTGATTGGCTATTGGGGAAACAAAGCAAAGGCAATTTTATCGGCTGTTAGGAAGCAGGAAGTACCTGAAACTAGTTGCCATTGGTAGGCGGGCAGGACTTTGGGTAAGTGGGCCTTGATTGGCTGTTGGGGAAACAAAGTGAAGGCAATTTTCTTGGCTATTAAGAAGCAGGAAATACTTGGAGCTAGCGGTCATGGGTAGGCGGGCAGGACCCTGGGCCTTGATTGACTGTTGGGGAAACAAAGTGAAGACAATTTTATTGGCTATTAAGAAGCAGGAAATACCTGGAGCTAGTGGTCATGGGTAGGCGGGCGGGACCTTTGGTAAGCGGGCCTTCCAGGGGCATACAGAGCAGACTGCTACCGGGCAGGGTCTGATGGGGCTTCTTTAAAAAATTTTCCTGCAGGGTTTATCAACAGCGGGCTGGGGGTTAAATGCATAATTTAGTGCTGAATGTGGACTTGGGTCTGGTATGCGGAGGTGGGTGCGGAGAAGCCGTGCGGCAAGGCCAGATAATGAGCTCGGGTGATGACATAGTTATCAGACGCGGAGAGAGATGGATGTGTCCGTTTAACCCTCTGCAAGGCAGCCGGCCTTACACTTATGTTGAGTAAGTTGTGAGGACCGATTAAAAGCTTTGCCACATTCTTCACATTTGTAAGGTTTCTCTCCAGTATGAATTTTCTTATGACTAGTAAGGTTTGAGGAGTGGGTAAAAGCTTTGCCACATTCTTCACATTTGTAGGGCTTCTCTCCAGTGTGAATTTTCTTATGCTGAGTAAGTCTTGAGGACCGGTTAAAAGCTTTGCCACATTCTTCACATTTGTAGGGTTTCTCTCCAGTATGAATTTTCTTATGTCGAGTAAGGCTTGAGGACTGCTTAAAGGCTTTGCCACATGCTTCACATTTGTAGGGTTTCTCTCCAGTATGAATTTTTTTATGACTGTTAAGGTTTGAGGACTGCTTAAAGGCTTTGCCACATTCTTCACATTTGTAGGGTTTCTCTCCAGTGTGAATTCTCTTATGGCTAGTAAGGTGTGAGGACCGGTTAAAACATTTGCCACATTCATTACATTTGTAGGGTTTCTCTTCAGTATGAATTATCTTGTGTCTAGTAAGTGTTGATGAACAGGTGAAAACTTTGCCACATTCTTCACAATTGTAGGGTTTCTCTACAATATGAATTTTCTTATCTTGAGTAAATGTTGAGGAACAGGTAAAAACTTTGCCACATTTGTCAAATTTGTATGGTATCTCTCCAGTATGAATTTTTTTATGTTGAGTAAGTCTTGAGGGCTGGTTAAAAGCTTTGCCACATTCTTCACATTTGTAGGGCTTCTCTCCACTATGAATTATCTTATGTTTATTAAGAGCTGAAGACCAGTTAAAGGCTTTGCCACATTCTTTACATATGTAAGGTTTCTCACCAGTATGAATTCTTTTATGGCTAGTAAGGGTTGAGGACCAGTTAAAGGCTTTGCCACATTCTTTACATTTGTAGGGTTTCTCTTCAATATGAATTATCTTATGTTTAGTAAAGGTTGAGCACATGCTAAAGGCTTTACCACATTCATCACATTTATAGGGTTTCTCTCCGGTATGAATTCTCTTATGGGTAGTAAGGGTTGAGTACCTGCTAAAGGCTTTGCCACATTCTTCGCATTTGTAGTGTTTCTCTCCAGTATAAATTCTCTTATGGTTAGTAAGGGTTGAGGACTGATTACAGGCATTGCCAAACTCTTTACATCTGTAAGCATTCTCTCTAATATGAATTATCCTATGTTGAGTTAGTTGTGAAAGCGTGCAAAATGACTTGCCACATTTTTTACATTGCAAAAGTTTCTTTCCGGTATGTCCTGTATTATGTCTATCTGAATTTGAATATGCATAAAGAGGTTTAACATAAATATCACAATGATACATTTTGTTCTGGGTAGGCGTCAAACATTGGTGAGGACCAGTATAACCTCCTTTGTATAGCTTACAATTACCTACAGTTTTACAGCTTTTTCTTAATTGCAAATTCTCATGTCCACATTTATCATATCTCCTCAGTGTCACTTTTTGGAAAGAATCTTTTATGTCTTGCTCTGGCCAAAGGTCTTCAGCAAAATGAGAAAAGGTAACTAAAAAAAAAAAAAAAAAAAAAAAAAAAAAATAAAAAAAAAAAAAAAAAAAAAAAAAAAAAAAATAGAACAAGTTACTTCACTTACTAGTCTCAGATATATATACACTTTACAAATGTAACCTCTAAAATTATATAAACTACATAAGGAA